TCTCCTCCACTGCTGGTGGGAATGCAAGTTTGTACAACCACTTTGGAAATCAATATGGCACTTTCTTAGAAAACTGGGAATCAATCTCCCCCAAGATCCAGCTATACCACTCTTGGACATATACCCAAGGAATGCTCAATCATACCACAAGAGCATTTGCTCAGCTATGTTCATATCAGCATTGTTTTAACATCAAAAACCTGGAAACAACCTAGATGCCCTTCAACTGAAGAATGGATAAATAAATTGTGGCACATATACACAATGGAATACTATTCAGCAGAGAAAAACATGACATCATGAGGTTTGCAGGCAAATGGATGGATCTAAAAAAAATCATCCTGAGTGAGGTAACCCAGGCTCAGAAAGACAAATATGGTATGTACTCATTCATAGGAGGATATTAGAGGTGGAACAAGGATGACTGGGATGCTACTCACATCACCAGGGAGGCTACCTGGAAAACAGGACCCCAAGAAAGACACGAGGATCGCCCAATGATGGAGAAATGGCTGAGATCTACATTAACAACCTGGACATGAGTGGGAGAAATGAAGGGCAATGTCGAGGGAAAGAGAGCCTGTGGGAGAGGGAGTTCCCAGCTGGGTCAAGAACAGAGAGGGAGAACAAGGAATAGGAGACCATGGTAAATGAAGACCACATGAGAAAAGGAAGAAACAAAGTGCTAGAGAGGCCCACAGAAATCCACAAAGATACCTCCACAATAGACTGCTGGCAATGGTCGAGAGACAGCCCGAACTGACCTACTCTGGTGATGGGATAGCCAAACACCCTAATAGTCGTGCCAGAAACCCCATCCAAGGACTGAGGAATCTGGATGCAGACATCCACGGCTAGGCCCCGGGTGGAGCTCCGGGAGTCTAATTATCGAGAAAGAGGAGGGTTTATATGAGCTAGAATTGTTGAAACCAAGGTTGGATAAAGCAAAGGGACAATGAGCCGAACGAATGGAAACACATGAACTATGAACCAATTGCTGAGGGGCCCCCAACTGGATCAGGCCCTCTGAATAGGTGAGACAGTTGATTGGCTTGATCTCTTTGGGAGGCATCTAGGCAGTGGGACCGGGTCCTGTGCTCATTGCATGAGTTGGCTGTTTGAAAACTGGGGCTTATGCAGGGACGCTTGGCTCAGTCTGGGAGGAGGGGACTGGACCTGCCTGGACTGAGTCTACCAGGTTGACCTCAGTCTTTGGGGGAGGCTTTGCCCTGGAGGAGGTAGGAATGGGGGGTGGGCTGGGGGGAAGGGGAGGGGGGCAGGAGGGGGGAGAACAAGGGAATCCGTGGCTGATATGTAGAACTGAATGGTATTGTAAAATAAAATAAAAGGAAAAAAACTAATTTCCCTATGTTTGTCTATGGATTGAAGTAAAGTTTTAATTTCTTTCCCCACGATCTTCTGACATATGTCAAGAATTTATGCATGTATAGATCGGTTTGGGAGCACATTATTTTCTGCTGTTATCTATTTTATGTCAGCGACCCTGTACTCATAGCTTTGTCTTTACAATAAACCCATATTTGGCACAGAAAAAGATTTCTACTTTGTTCTATCTTTCCAGGAATATTTTGGATTTTTCTTGGCTCTTGAACATTTCTATCTTAAAAAAAACATCTGCCAGACAAAATAAAATGTTTTCATTCTCCTTTGAAAGGAATTGTATTAGTTTGCAGACCAGCTGGGACAAGCCAACATATTAATGATATGGAATCTCTCTAGCTACAAAATCCACACTAGTCATTTGCTCCTATCTTTATACTTTTCTCTCATGCATTTTGTTAGAAACAGGTGTAAAGGCATTTTTGTCTTTAGCTACTAAAGAAGCTGGTGCTGAGAGCACTTCATGGGCTTATCATAAAGCCGTCAAGCTGCAAAGCAGAAAGTTAACCTAGTTCCTAATCTGAAAGTTTTTTCTTTACCTCATTCTGCCTCATAGAATTTGAAACATGCAGTGTGATGCAGTATTGATCACATCACACCATCAAATCCATGATGGTGAGACCCAGTTCTCTCCAGAAATGTTATAATTTGTCAGTTTCATGGCTTTCCCTTCCCAATCTCCCATCCTCATGCAGTAAATTCCCTCACCATAAAGTATAGTTTCTCCTAGAATTCAAACACACCCAACCTTGTAAGAGCTAATGTTTGAGGTCTATGACATCTCTGTGTGGGAAAGCCTTTGGGTCATTTGTGAAACTGTTCCTTTTTTTTTTTTTTCTTTGAGTCAGTTCTGGGTGGGAAAAAGTAAACACACTTGTCATCAAGAAGAAGGGCTCCACACTAAGAGTGACTTGGGCTTGGCAGGCAGTGTTTACAAAGTGAGCGTCTGTTCACACTAATCTTAGCCAATGTACCTTGTTGATGAGCAATAACCCTGGCATGTCAGCACCACTGGAGACCCCATTACCATCCAGCTCCTGAGAGGCTTTTCTGTTCTGACACAAGGGACGTCAAAGCAAGTCCATTGATGAATAAAACACAGACAGGATATGATAGTCTGAGAATAGCAGTTAGCCTCATTCTGGAAGGAGGTCACAGATGGTGACAAGCTAAACACAGGTGTAATGGAGACTCAAAATTATATTAAGTAGTGAAAACTGACAGTAGCCGTTTCTAACTTTTCTAATTTAGGGAAAGGCAATGCTGTGCATGTTAGTGGACATACATCTCTAAGTGGCTTTGTACTGATTCAGTCTTAGAGGTTGGGAAGTCCAGTGCTGTTACTAAAAAATACAACAGGAAGGAGATATAAGGGACTCCATGGAGCGAAAGGAAGTAGCCGACAGTGATGGGGAGGTCTGCTGAGAATCACCCTAGATCACTCTGGCTGTGTGTGTCTTGTTCCATTTTCTGATTGTTGAACTCATGGAAAATGAGGTAAGCTTCACCATAGCTCATGGGGTGAGGAGTACAGGCAACAGACAAGCTGTTGGGAGTAGAGGAGCACACCAATCTTCCTCAATGGGCAGAAATCACAGGATAGAGGGTTGAAATCTGGAAGAGCAACAGGACCCTAGCTACCTCAACCAAACCCGACCCTGAACCTTCAAAGAGAGAAAAAATGTTTTAGAGATGGGCCAGGGGGGCTGCTCGAGAGGAGTATTGTGGATGGTATGCTGGGCCAAAGATCTTGAGTTTGGATTTCTAATAAAAACCTTTTTTTGAGAGGGGTGAATTTGAGCTCTTTTACAATTCATTTATCACTTCTCTTTCTATCATTCCCTTCCCCGTGGGAGGTGGACTGTCTTAAGTGGAAAAGCTGGGTGTTCTAATTAGTCACATGCATTTGGAGCCTGGTCATGTCACCAAGTGCTATATAGAGAAACTGCAAGACACCTCATTTTTGAGCCGTTTTTTATCTGCGAGATAGCACCTTAGAAGTTGGGCAGGGATTAGCGAGGTAACAAATGGAAAGGATGTCCAGTGGTCAATAGGAGATGCTCTGTCGTCCCTCTGTCCTGACTGTACCACTGGGACAGAGGGCCTGAGATTTTTGCCCATTGTCCTGTATTGCTTCAGGTACACAGGAGGACACAACAGAACTCACCTGCATTAAGATGGAGACGCCAAGCTTTGCATACCTCTCTGAATTCTTTAGGGAAAGAGACACATAGGCTCACATCCAATAAACCTTGTGGAGCCTCTTGGCTATCTCCTATCACATGGGGAAAGAAATTTCCACCATGATAAACCAAGGTCCATCTATGGCTGGTGCAGATTTGGGGTGCCCAAGTCCAAAAAAATGTTAGAAAGAATCTAATGCAGCTACTCAGTTAACTCACTGGAGCCCAAAGTCACATGACTTTGTAAGGTCGTGTAGCTCGCAGTGATAGATCCAGAGCAGAAGCCAGCTTCTTCTAATGTTTTGTATAGTACTTCATGGTCCTTGTCTGAGTGCAGATGGCATGGGTGCTGTGGTGTGTGTGTGTGTGTGTGTGTGTGTGTGTGTGTGTGTGTGTGTGTGTATGTATGTGTGTGTGTGCTATTGTATGTAGAAGTTTAAGTGTGTGAACATTTGTAGATATTTTGTGCATGTGTGCCTGCAGGGTATGTGTGTGTGTTCACATAAGGGATAGGAGAAGTGTGGGACCTAAGCTGAGTAATCTCATTCTCCATAAATGCCACATTATAGAAAAGGCAGAAACCTTTCTTCTTTCTGGCTCATTGGTTGGCTGGGTCTTTTCCAGTGTAACCTAACCAGGTATAGAACTCCTAGAGGTGCCCTGTAACTAAGTTCAGTGAAATGGAACTTGGGGAAGGGCTGTCTCAGTCCAGTCTTGTTGGGCTAAATATCAGAGAAAACATGTGGACTGAGTTGCACCTGACTTCAAGGCTAAGATCATCCTGTAATCAGATGGTAGACTTACCTATTTCTAAATTCCAGCCCAACAGAGAAGCCCATCTTCAGGTTTGGTAGATGTGTTGTACTCTCAAGGTTCTTTGTGCCTGGTACACAACTGGGGGACTCCCCATGCTGCCTCAAGTGCTACTTCAAGGGAATACATTTGCACAATCGAACAAGCTCAAAGTGCCCTCTTCCTTTTGCATTTTATTTATTTACTTATTTTTGTGGGGTTTAGCAGACAACTTTCTGGAGTCCATTCTCTCTTTCTACCATGTGAATTCTTGGTGTTGAACTCAGGTCCTCAGGCTTGTCAACAAATGCCTTAATATCCTGAACCATCTCACCTGCCTTCTTCCTGAGTTTTCAGGGAGGCCGAATGGAAGACAGAGCCCTCTGGGAAGATTTTGGGGGGCTCTGTTGTTGAGTCTTTCTGTAACCAGGGAGGCTTGTGGATCCAAGCAGTTGCAGATTGTACTGCTAGAGGAGAAGTTCTGTAGCAGAGTTGAGAGACGCTGAGCCTTACCTGAGCAGTTGGAAATCACTGTCTCATGGGCTTTGCTTTTAATCCAAATAGTTCGGATCACAAGGCCATAGATGACACTGCAGGAGGAACCAGAGGGAACATTAACATGGCTGATCAGTCCCTAGTGTGAGGATCCAGAGGGCTGACTACCCCCATTTCCCCTTGAAAAGGTGACTGTCCCAGCCAGCTATGCTGGCTATCCTGCGGGGACCATAAGAGTGAGGTGGAGGGAGCTGCTAGTCTCTTCAATGAAGAGATGAAAACCTGGAGGAGTCAAATAATCTAGATATTCAGCAGTACAGCATGGATTATAATTCAAACAACATAACCTTTGAAGGTAGAAAGAGGGTTATGTACATAGGGTTATGTACATGTATGTACATAATAATATATATATTTCGTTTTAGTTTTCATACTTTCCAGTGAGTGTGTGGGGGTGGGTGGGAGGAGAGGAAGTATGTAGAGGCCTATGGTTGATATCAGAAGTCAATCTCCATATTTATCTTCTGCTTTTTCAATGAAGTTGTGTTTCTTTTTTTTTTTTTTTTGGTTTTTCGAGACAGGGTTTCTCTGTGTAGCTTTGCGCCTTTTCCTGGAACTCACTCGGTAGCCCAGTCTGGCCTCGAACTCACAGAGATCCGCCTGGCTCTGCCTCCCGAGTGCTGGGATTAAAGGCGTGCGCCACCACCGCCCGGCTGAAGTTGTGTTTCTTAACCCCAGATTAAGACATGGTTTGTTTCACCAGCCAGCTTGTTTTTGGGATCCTCTGTCTCTGACTTGAATTCCAAGGCTGGATTTACAGATGGACCTTGCAAATGCTAGGAAAATGTCCATTATGTAGCCCAGGCTGGCTTCGAGCTCATAGTCCTCATGAATACACTCCCTACAGACGGGGCTTACAGGCCTATGCCACCATACCCCCTTACTATAGAACAGCCTCTGTGACCCTCCCTTGTATTCTTGCCGTAGGTGATCTTGTCTCCTTGAGTTCAACAGGGATCTGTTGTTGCTTGCCTCGGCTAAGTTGGTTACGATCCCTGAGGTTACACAGAATGAAGCAACTGTCTAACTGTGTATTTTGCAAGGCAAGGCTGCCTTTAATCCTGCAGCCCCAGTGAAATTAATTCTGCAAAAATATGAGGAACCTTGGAAAGACCCTTCCCCAGTTGTGCCTCTGGTGACCTTCCACACCTACTTAGCCCCTTGGTGATCACTTTACCCCAATACAGACCCAGTTAGCCTTGTCCAGGCCCTAACACAGACGCTACAGATCAGAGATGTATACCGTTTCAATGCACTCAGTTTGTCATAACCTGCTATACAGTAATTGATAACCAACACTCAGAGCCTAAGTTGAGATTCTATAGCACAAGCCTCTTGAAATTTTGAGTGTCAAATGTGATCACATTTAAAGAGCTGAGCATGCATAATGCTTGAATATCAGTGGACTTAAGAGTATAATTTTCCTTCTTCTTGCTGCCCACCCCCCATTTTTCCACATTCCATCTCACCCGTTTCTTCAGTGATGAGGTATATGCCAGCGGAATGTTAATAACATACACACATCAGCAAATTTTCTATTTCCCATCTCCTTTGATAAATGCAAAAATTTGAACTCTCCCTAATGTTACTTGACATTCAAAGTTTACAGAACATTTTAACTAAAAACTTTGGGAAAACACTGCCTTATTTTTAAACTGCATAATCTTTCCTCTTGAGAATTGGTAGTTAAAAAAAATCAGAGTTCCAATTTGTAGAAGCTGACAAAGCACTAATGGATTCTAATGGGCTTTAGACTATAACTTAATTAATGGCGATGTTAAAACTTTGTTTCTTATTGCTTTTTCTATTCTTGCTCTGGGAGCTCCTCTTAGTGCCTCAGGGAACCTCAGACCTTGGTGGCATATCTAGGGATTTTCCTGTAGTCTATATATTCCCATGAAGGAAAAAATGAGAAAGGCTAGCAGTGAGGCTTTTCTTTGCTCAAAATAGAACATTTGTTAGATCAGAACTCATTTTCCAGGTAAAGGAGACACAAGGTGTATTAGTTACTTTTCTAGTTGTTATCAAAGATCTGATAAGAAACAACCTTGAGGAAGAAGGGTAAATTTGCTGTGGTTTAAGGAGAACACATGGAGACTAGAATAGCTCCCAGCAATGTTAGCAGTCATGAGAGGCTGCTTGCTTGCATTTGTGTAGTTTAGATGTGGAACAGAAGGTGGGGTTGGGCTCTTAACCTTAAGAACCCACCTCCATCCCTCCCAAGATCTGCTTCCTTCAGTTCAGTTTCATCAGTCAAAGGTTCCACAACCACCCAAAAGAGCAGGAGACCACATGAGCCTGTAGGGGACATTGCACATGCAAACCACAGTGCAAGGTAAGATTCTGACCACCATGAGACATTAATGCTACCTGGCAATGATTCCAGAGTTTAACTCATTGCTAATTCAAATGTCATTGGCAACTAGTTCTATACATGATGGAAACATGAAGAAAGGTCTTATGTATGAAGGACTTGGGTCTAATTGACTCCTCTTCTACTTATAGGCACAAAGAAGAGCACAAAGCCAGGCCAGCCCTGACAGTTAGCTGGACAAATGGAGCTACTGCATATGTATCTTTGTGCTTTGCTGTTCCAGGCAAGCTGCTTCTTAGGAGCAACAGTCACTCATCCGAAATAGCGTCTTTGCATTTTTCTCCACTTGTCCATCTAATGAGTGAGCAAATGCTCACTTCTAAAGGACCCCAGAATCTGCACCTTCATTCCTATCTTCTCACCATTAGCTCAGATCTTTGCAATCTCTCTTTTACTGTGATAAAATACACACAGATTGCATTTTAATCCTTCTGATTAAATTGTCCCGTAACTGCTGTCTGACTGTCACCACCGCTTGTCTATAGAATTGATCAGCTTATTGTTAGGGTTTTAGCAGGCAAGGCTCGATGGAGAACTAGGGGGAAAGAGCCTATTGAAGTTGAGAAAAGTGAGGTTGAGGAAGTTTTTTTTTTTTTTAATGTTAAGTTGGAGGTCTTTTCTGATGTCTCAGTTACTGTTCCATTTCTGTGAAGAGATGCTGTGACTAAGGCAACTCATAAAATACAGCATTTAGTGGGGAGCTTGCTTCCAGATTCAGAGGGTTAGTCCATGACCATCATGGGGGAAAGCAGACATATATGGTGATGGAGCAAGAGCTTTTCATCCTGATTCACAGGCAGAAAAAAGACACTGTGCCTGCAGTGGGCTTTTGTAACCTCAAAGCCCAACCCATAGTGACCCAACAAGGACACTCTTGCTAATCCTTCCCAAACAGTTCCACTAATTGGGACCAAGAATTCAGACATAGGAGTCCATGGAGGCTATTCTCATTCAAACCACCACATCTGTCAAATACTGTCCCTACCAAACAAAAGGAGATGTGTCATGAACCTGCATATCATCCCTTTGTGGGAGCCATGCCAATCTCCCCAACTTTAGTTCATGTACTCTGGAAATACAGGAATCTTCTAACCTCTTCCCTGGCGATATCCTAATCTTTCCCTGTTCTGCCGTGGTAGCCGAGACCACGCATCATCAGTGATGGTGATGCAGGACAGATGGCTGCCAGCTTGACCCCTGACCCCGCCTGAGCAAGTTCATTTCCATGAGATGCTATCCCATCAGGGCATCAAAGCTCTCCACTACTGCCTCACTTCACGACACCCTGCTGCCTCTTCCCACCTCGTGGCTTCTTGACTTAACCTTTGCCCTGGGTTTCTCAGCCAACAGGAGCAAGACAACCAAATGAGTATGGGACCTCCTTTCCTGAACAGTGGACTCTGTTAAGAATGCGTTCCAGGGTTTTTCACCCCTCCTTGTTCTATTTCTGGGATACATTTCCTTTTGTCTGTTTATAGTCAATCATTCTCTACATGCTGCTTTGCAGTGAAACACTTCTTGTCCTGTTATTATTTCACAGTCAGCTTTTTCCCTTGGGACACCCTGTTGGAAAAACACAGGCTATGCTGACCCTTGTCTATGGCAGTCTGGTGCTGAAGGTTACGTCACATAGAAAGGAAAGGAAGTCTTAGATATTTCGAATACAACTTTTCCTGTGTCTTGGATTTCAGTAACTTTTTCAGGCGACTTTAGCTCCTTGAAAATGTGAAAACTGAAGGATTTCTCTGCCTGAGAGCACCTCACCCTGTAACTGTCTAGTTTACTTCCTGAATGTACAGAAGGCAATTTAAACCACCCATTCTCCTTTATGTAGTTCAGAGGCAGTTTAGGACTGTGAATGTTCTAGTTGTCCCTAGAGCCAGTCTTGTAGGTCCCTCTTGGAAGATCCCAGGGATAGACCACATGCCTTCATTTTGGATCAGAATGATGAGAAGATCAGAAGACACAGAGTTTGTGCTTTCACAGGTTGATTCTGTACTCAACAGAAACTCTGGGCTCCTGGGAGAGCGACAGTGAAGTGGTGGATTACATGTTTTGAAGTTTGGACTTGGTTCAATATATAGAATTTGTTTACATTTGTGCAAACAAATGAAAGAAAGAAACACACATACATATTCTTGTTTATGCACAATTAAGTCCTGGGATAGCACAGACCAGCAGCACTCATCTGTTTCTGAGGACAAAAAGTTGACTGGAGGAAGATCTCTAGTTTTTATTTCATACCTACATGTGCTTGTGAGAAATGTAAAATAAATGTACTGTCTTTTCTACAAAAGGGTTATGTAAGACAAAACTCCATTCAAACAGTATTGTAAAGAGCCTGCTTGCCAGAAATTCTGATTCTGCCAGGGTCAGCTCTTCCTGAAATCAAAATTTCTGTCCAGGGTTTCATTTGGTGTTCAGGATTGTATTTTGTGTATCAACTGTACCATTTAGAATTAACCAATAGTGTATGAATGTGAGGCTGAACTCTGACCACCGAGAGTGATGCACAGGACCCCTTTGCATTAGGAATAAAAACCTAGTGGTATCACATTGGCTGTGCTTCGTTGCTGGATTTGATGCAGTTAAGCACCCTCTGCAGAAATAAGCCTTATTACCTTGCCTAAATACTTTGGATTGTGTGATCATCTTCCCAAT